TTTGAGGGCCTTTTCACAAGCATATCTGGCTATTAGCTTCAGTAGTGTCATTATTCTGCTGGTTTTATTCCTGTTTGTTACGGACCGTTGTCTTGCTGCCAGGCCTTTTTGTTAAATGTTTTGGTTTGGTTAGCCTTTGGGTTCATACTCTCTGATTCATCTTTAAAGTATTCTACCTAGTGGCTGTTAGTCTTTGAATTGCTGCGGCAGTGAGGACGTGTAGAGTTAAAGCATGAGGTTTTTCACCAAAGCACAAACATGCAGTTGCTACCGACCACTCAGCTGATGAAAATGTTAGGTGTACCCTTCTGGCTGTTGTATGAAGATGACTTTGTCTCCAAATGATGAATGCTGTGTGCATGATAGTGAGTTTTCAGCCCACAGAAGAAAGCTGGCTCATTTACAGGTTCAGTCAGCAGCCATTTCAGCCCTGCCATCTATCACCTCTGTCATCTCCCATCTGATATACCTAAGGTTCCTGTCTGCCTTACCCGCACCGTGCTGCTGTGAAGAGTGGTCAGTGTGGCACTTCTCCTTCACGTAGTCTGCTGGCTAGAAATAACTCTGGTGGGTTCGAGGTTGGTGAATGGTCCTTCCCGCTGGCGGAGCAGCACCTGTGCTCAGGTGTTTGCGTTTTGTTGTGCACTAAAACAGGGGAGCAAGGGGAATAGTCAGGATGGGGCTCTTACCACAGTTTGCCTGCTTCCTGGCTGCAAGTTATCATTTTCTCTTGACCTCTTTTATTACCGGTTTTATCCCTCATGTTCTTTCTGGCCTCTTTAGGTATTCAGGCTCTAGCAGGGCTTCAAGGACCTATTTTTAAGAGTGAAATAATATTTAGGTTTTAACTGTTGCCATTTCCCGGCTATATTTTACCATGTGGTGGTATTTCTGTGATGTGGTTTACTGGTCACTGGAAAGTTGACGTCACCAAAGGCATTTCATTCACAATCTAAGATTTTCGTGATGAATTATAGACCTGCAAGCAAATAACTGGAATTGCAAAGCTGCGACTTGTGTGCTGCTTTGATCCAATTTTTATTGACAGCGGAGACTGTCTGTGAAGGAACTGTTGCATTCAGCGCCCATGTGATTATGATTAAGTCTTTACCATAAGACTCCTCTTTCGCTTTATAAACTCACAACTGTAAAAATTTCCAGCGCCGTTCACTGTGCATGTTGCTATTATGCACCTCAGCAGAGTGCCAGGGAGCACCAGCCGCAGAGCAGCGCCTGTCGAAAGCCAGGTTCTACTTTTATTCTTAAATAATTTTTTAGGAAAACCTCTGAAATTGGCAACAAGCTGCAGAAATCTGGGGTCTGCTTAACGATCCTGAGGACCCAAACCAGGTAGGAAGCTGGAAGGCTGTGGGTACACAATCGGTGCTTGCTTTTCTCGTATTTGAAGCAGAAAAAGCAGCAAACTGCAGAGGCCATCCTCGCTGGATACCAGGGTGCTGTGCTCGCAGGGCTACTGTGGATCAAGAAATGTTGGTCAAAGCTCAGTCCCCTTGACGAAGCCAAATAGAGCCCCAAATCCACAGAAATATTATAGTTCTACAGCAGGCAAGTCTAAGGACTTCAAAAGCAAGTGGTTTTAATAAACTAAGGCTCCAAAGTATGAAGAAGTGTTGTGTAAGGCAGGACAGACTGCAGTTGTTTCTCCCACAGGTACTTTGGTTCTATAACGTTAACTGGAGAAAAAAAAAAGTGCTTTGCCCAGTGAAATGGTGACAGATGACTTGAATACTGTCCAGAAACAACTACACTGATCAGGAAGGTGTCATCTCAAGATAGTTACCCCTTGACGTGTCCCTCTGCATCTCAGGTTTTTTGCAAAACTAAGATTATCACTAATGAGCAATCCTCATTGAGGCCTCAGGGTCTTGTTCAGAAGTGTCATGGGAAAAAGACTGTGGAAACCCCCGAGCTTGTTCTTCCAGATTTTTTCTTTTAAAGGAAAGAGGACCGTGCAACTCTATCTTCTCTGAAATGTCTGTCTGGACGTTCATCTGAGCGAGAAAGTAATTTTAGCATCCATGACACACAGCTTCTGCAGCCATCCGATTGCTCAACGGCTCAAAGAATAAATATTTCCTTAAGCCTGAGGACAGGAATCGGAACGCTGCTGGTTCCCCCTTCAGAAGCACCTGTGTGTGTGTTTTTTCAGGGCCTGAGTAACACAGTGGTGCTCTGTAGCTCTGAGTCATCGCAGCTCTCCAACCCTACAAGCACAAGCACACTCTTGCTTAGCGTCCTTTTTAACAAGTAGGCAAATAAACAAGAACCAACAGAGGGCTGAAAGTCTGCCTGCAGCTTGACACCAAAACACTGTCCTCCTGCAAACCTTGACATGAGCATGTCTGCTTTCCCAAAGAAGTCAGTGGTGCTACTCATGTGATTAAAGGTTAAGCAGGTACTGGCGTGCTTTGCCAAACTGGATCCACAAGGTCTGGAGGAGGTTTGTCTTTTTTTGCCTTCAATTCTTCCCCTGTCAGATATACTCGTTCTGAGGTAATGTTAATCAAGCAGGAAAGCTGACTGGCTTTACGAACTGGTGCAAATCTGTGTGCTTTGCACACTTATGAAGTGACAAATTTAATTTACATAGGATACCTAGAGCTCTCTGAAGCGCTCTTTGAAGCACTCATTTGCACATGGTGGTGGGATTTAATGGGCAGCTTCATCAACAGCAAGACAGTTAAAGGAACAACCAGGTTGGGTGTTGGGATACCACTTCAGAGGAGGTTGACGCCACCTCATTCATCGAGGCCCCTTCTCTCTCTCTCTATAAGAGCTCAGTATTGTCCAAATCACTCTGACCCACAGGCCGGCACCCGATGAGAGGAAGGATGTTCCAGGGGTTATGAGGCGAACTCGAGACTTGGGAGACTTGGTTTGGTTTCCTGTCACCTCCGCGAAGCTAGCTGGCCTCTGGGTGCAAGTTCCTCATCTGCAAAATGAATTACACTTCCCGTCTCAGAGGGACACTGTGTCAGGAATGCGCTGGTGACCGTGAAGCATCAGGTCAGCCTGCTGCCAGCAGCATGAATACATCTTAGCTGCCAAGGGAAGCCAGTGTGCAGTTTGACAATGGGACATGCACGCTTCCCTGGTAGAGGGATAAACAAGGGACAACCCAGTTTCAATGGGGCTGTGTTAGCGAAAGGGCCCAAGTTCAGCTCCCACCCTAAGAAAATCACAGGTTGCTTTTGCTTCCCTTCCTGTCCTCTTTCCCCCTGCAGCCTGCATGTTTGGCAGGTCCAGCCAGTCCATACCAGTCCAAAACCCCTTGCCTTTGGGAGGAGGCTGTGCTGAAGTCAGGGTTAGCACATGGATGCTGAGAGCCTTGTCTTTACAGTGCTGAGCGTAAATCAAAGGAGGGAGTATTGTAGGTCTGTGAATGCATTGGCTTGTGTGAAAAGGGGAAGGACACAGTCGCAGAAGAGGCTACTTGTTGACATAGAATGTAGATTTATGCAGCTGCAGCTGTGAGTTATGCCATAACAATAGCCCTTTTTATATGGTGAAGCACAAAGGTATGAGATGATTTCCAAAAGGTGGCTGAGCAATTCACCTGCTCCCCTAGCCTTGGCACCAGGGAATTGCTGCTTCTCAGGCTGAGCTGTGGTTCTCAGAAATTATTCCAGAACTTTTAGCTGAATGCTCTTTATTTGCATATCCTTCCTTTAAAAAGATGACTTTGCCCTTGTTTGACACTTCAGTAATTTTTTTGTCTTTTCTTCTGAAGAGGAACTATCAAACTGGGGCAAACAAGGAAGGAGAGGACATTCTGTGACAGTAAGTGAGTGACCAGACCTGTTGGTGGTGTCATCACTTTTGTTGCCTTTTTGGATGGCTGGGAATAGGGAATCAGTTGCTCAAGACCTTTCCTCTGCTGCTCAGCGTTGCCTCAACCTTGTGCTGGCCAGCTTAGTGCTTTAGCAGACACTGCCTGAAGTGCGTTACAGAAACCGAGCTCCTTCGATGACAGGAGTGTTTTCAGCGGTTCCCCTGGGATACTGAGCGGTGTCACTGTTCCACTGCCAGGCTGGCCCCGCTTTCCATTTCCTAGATCACCTCCTGCCTTGCCAGCACTGATTATTGTCCCGTGCCCATCCTGGGAGGTGCTGCACAAACACAAACCGCCGTATTTGTTCCAAAAAATGTATAACCTGATCACAAGATGGGTACTGCTAATGGATGCAAAGAGACAAGGAAACGGTGAGACCACAGAAGGTTTCTTATAAGACTAGGCTTTTAATTTGACCTGGGATTGTTGTAGTCATCAAAAAATGGCTGTAAGTTGTTCATAAGCTGCAAAAATACAGAAACTCGAGATCTCTGACTTGAGGTACTTACTCTGTTCCAGACACAGTTTTGATAAAAAACAAGTCATGCACCAACCCATAACTCAAACTCCAAGCCAAAAGGTTGTGTTTTAAAGGAAAAGGTCAACCTTTTTGGTCATCTGTAAGTTATAAGACCCTTTCCAGCATTAGAAGAGGACAAGACACTTAGAGAAAAAGATTTTCTGTTTAAAGAGATTGCTATTGCTGAAACTAGAAAGGGAGAAGAAGGGAAGTAAAGACCTAGTGGAAACAGGGGGAGAATGCTAAGTAGAGCATTCTCTATACCAGTGTTAGTATTAGGGCTGTCTTATGCTATTAGATGGCAAAAGCTTCCTTTAGCCAGCAGCAGTAGCTTTATTGCAGCTTTCTCCAAGTAAATGAGATTTTAACAACTGTATCTAACAATGAAGGACTCCTGCTATGGGCCAGACTTTGAAACATCTTGCAATATCAACAACTGTTTGCAAGGTGTTGAGTTTGCCTGAAGGATTGCTACTGGGACACTCCTGGGCAGCTGAAGCAGGGTCAGTGAGGGGCTGGACAGGATCCCCAGCACAAGCCATGCACCAAAGCCTGGCCAAGGGATCTGAGTGTGCTGGGCTCTGTGTAGGAGCACTGCACATATAGGCAGCCAGGAGCTGGGAGAGCATGCGAAGGCCCGTAAGAGCTAGAGGCAACGCTGCTACCTGGTTTGCAGGTGCTGTCTCATGTAACAGTTCAGGTGTTTGGGGCTGGTTTGGTTTTGGATTTTGAGAAGCAAAAAGCTGTTGGCTTAATTGTATCACCTTTCTGGACGGCTGCCTCAGTTCCATGAGGCCACCTCTGCAGGACACAGTGGGAGCCATAAAACGCTGCAGAATGAAAGCCCAGTGTTTTCTGGAGCTAGCCAGGGGTGTTGTGTATCCCAGTGGGAAGCTGGGAACTTCTTCTTTTCCAGCAGTATAAATCATTCACCTTATTTGTTTGCTGAATGCTGTACCTTAAAACTGTCAGTTGCCCAGGTCTTGGTGTGACCTCATAGCTGGGGAAGAGACTACAGAAGTATCCCTGTGCCAGGTTTTTTTTTCTTTACAATTGTTTTAAAGTCGTAGATTTCAAATAATAGAGTACTGTCAGAAAAGGTTATATAGCAGGCCAAAAGTTCATGACAAATTGCAAGATTGTGTTATTTATTTACCACCTGGCTGTATTACAAGTCCCTGTGCGTACAGCATCAAGTACATATTCTTAGCATGTCTACAAAGTGCCTTTGAAGTCATAAATGTTGGGTAATTTTTACTGCTTAGCTATCCAAAGTGCTATACAGAAGGAATGTTTTCCTCTTCTCTGCCAGTACTGTGACTAGGTAGGTCTGAAGCTCTTCAGGTATATTGGTTCTCATGTCCTCTCTCTTATTCTTCACTCCAGCTGTCACTACAAATTACTCCGCTGTGTGAAAGCGAACAACACTATGAATACTCTGGACGGTGCTGCACAAAGTGTGAGCCAGGTATGTGAGCACTGGGCTGTACCAGCTTCACAACTGAAAAGCTCGTTAGAAACAGCTCTCTGAGTCAGTAAGGCAGCTTGGTCTTGTGACTCCACTAATCTATTGGCACATACTCTTGCAGGTACATGATTTTAGGCTCCCAAGTGCCTTCCAGTGCAGGAGTGGTCCTGCTGACCTCAGCAAAAGCCATAGCAGCTATTTTGTTGGGATAGCACTTAACCACTGCGGGAGACAGAAGCAGAGTGATTCTTGTGCACATAGATAGGACTGCTCCCAGGCAATAAGCTTTGTGGATGTTTCAGTGCAACACTAAATGGGGGCCAGACTGAGGAAGTGAAAAGGTGGCAGGAAGAAATGATTGTCCACAGCAGTCTTAGCCCAACCTGTTATTTTCCCTGAGCTCCTTAGACAGCTGGTGTGCAACTTGCAAATGACCTACTTGCCCTTCTGTCATTCACAGGAAAGTATATGTCTGCTAGATGCACTGGTACTTCTGATAGCGTGTGCCAGCCGTGTGGCCCAAACGAGTACATGGATGTCTGGAATGAAGAAGATAAATGCCTACTACATAAAATATGTGATCAAGGTGAGCTGTTCATACTGAAGAACCTTTCAATCCAAATTAATGAAGCACAAATAGAGGAAAGCGGATCTAGGGAAGTTGCTTTGTTTGGGTACCCAGCGCTGGAGGCTGGACTTGGAGAAGAGCCTGATGGAGAGGGAGGTCCCCAGACAGCAGAGCTTCTGTGCTGAGCACCACGACCATAGTCTACATGCTGCTGATAATTGTTATCTTCACTGAGGCCATTGACCTCCTGAGAATTGATCTTAAAGTTTGTCCTTTTGCCCAGCATACTGTGCGTTCACTTCCACTAATGCATTTGTCTCACCATTGCAAAACCTCTGTTTATTTCCTACAGCAGCAATGAGGAAAATAAATAAGTATTGTTCAGGAGTGCAATCAGTGAAGAGCTCCCTGTGCGATCGAGGGTCTCCCATGCTTCTTCAAAGATAACATTTCCTCTAACATGAGTGGGTTTGCATCTGGCAGTCAGGCAAAGCAAATAGATAGAACAGGAGGTTCATAAACTTGAGGCTTATTACCAGAGACATTTTTACTCCCATCTTCTTTCTCTTTCAGGGAAAGCTTTGAGAGAAGTGAACCCGGGGAACAGCACGTTCCAGAGGCAGTGTGCTTGTACAATGGGCTACCACTGGAATGAAGACTGTGACTGCTGTCAGCGAAATACCATATGTGCTCCAGGATTTGGAGTCAAGCATCCTGGTAAGATACAGAAAGGGGATATACAGAGTGAAATGTGCAACCCTGGCCTACAAGATAAGGCCAGTATTATGTGGGTTGTGGTGTTAGAGACGATAGTTTGGACTCTCAGATGACTGTCAACAGAAGATGCATATCTGAGTTACTATTATTACTGTATATAATCCTCCTGGACTAGTTGCATTTTAAATGCTTCTACCTCTGTAGTTAAAGCACTATCTTGGATCAACTGACTTTCGCAAGATACCATGTGGACCTGGCACTAGTTGCAAGGTGCTCAGTGTATTTCTGGTGTTTGCTGAGGTGTCTGGCTGTGAGTCACTAGGTCATGCACTGCTCCCATGTTCAGAGCAGCAGTCCATTCAGAGAAGCAATCCTCAGGCTGGATTTGAAATCAGGTGTTGTCCAGTGACTTTGCTTTGCTATTTTATTATGTTATAAGCAAGCTAAAAGTTGTAATGAACACTGGGAACAGTTGTGCCAAGCACGTGAGGAACCCCAAAAAAGCAGCATATAATAGAGTAATGGAGGATGAAATGCTGCACGGGCTGCAGCGCAATGGTGCTGTTTTTTCCCCAGTCTACAAAGTCCTGATGCAGCATTTTGTTTACTGTGGCTTCACAGAAGTGACAATACCAGTTAGTGTCACTGTCTGTGGCATAGCACTGACATGAGGAAGTTAATGGAAGGGGAAGGATGTATTAGCTGTGTGTTATTTTACAACAACTATAAATGGCTTTTGGTCATTTCTCATTTTGATCATGTAGAGAAGTGCTCAGGTGAGACTAGCATATTTTTTTTCTGCTTACCTGTGACTGTCATTGCTTCTCCAATGTAATCTAAGATCCTTCTCTTGTCAGGGAAGCTTTTGGCGGGGGCTGGCGGGGTGAAGCAGGAGGATGGGGAGTATGGTCACCTTCTCCTCACCTGGAAGGAAACTCAGCTATGAAGTTTTTCTTTCTTTGCTACACACAGTGCAACAAGACCAGGACACAATGTGTATACCATGTCCCAGAGGTTACTTCTCAAAGGTCGCTTCATCTACTGACGAGTGTAAATCCTGGACCAAGTAAGTCCCTGTATCTTGTAAGAGGACCACAAGAGCCAGAAGGCTGGGAGAAGCTTGGGTAGAAGCATTTTTCAGTGGGGCGTTGCAGGCTGTCTGCAGAGCACACAGAGCATCTCTGTTGGCTGTGCAGCAATAAAGGCATTCTCACACTGAAGCTTGAGTTCTCTCTCTTGGAACAAGAGAAAGCAGTAACAAAAGAACTGCTGAGCTGACACAACTGAAAATAAAGATGGTATCTGAGGTTCTTATGGGTGGAGAAATGCAGGAGAAATGTTGTATGTTACAACAGAAAGTGCTACTCTGCATAAATGTAGGAGCCACGACAAGCTTCCTCTTTGAGAACCTAGGCTCTTTGTCTTTCTTTTTCAGCTGTACAGCTGTAGGAATGGCAGAAGTCGTGCCTGGGACTGAGAAGTCAGATGCAGTTTGTGCAGAACGGACAATGCCTGAGCCATCGGAAGACGGTACGTGTCCTCGTACAGGTTACCTGTTGGAAAGCAGCAGGGAGGAGGAGGGATGTGTTTACTAGTGGTTTTGGCAGGCTTAACTCCGTTCCCATTGTGGGTGACTCTAGGGGGAGCTGCTGCAGGCCAAGACCGTGCTCTTGGAAAAGCCCACCTTTAAAGGTTTCTTTAAGCCCGGTGTCTCTCAGGCGCATGTCTACTACTAAGCAGAGCTTTACACCTCCCACTGAAACAGCATGGCAAGCAGCATTGCTGTTATACCCATGACCTCCATCATATTTACAGCTCTCTCATTTTTTCAGCCTGCTGAATTCCATACAGTCATATCTGTATAAAGGCTAGCAGCTATTCTCCATGCTTATTTTATAGCAAAGTATACAGTCCCAGCTGCATGTAGCTCCCCCTTCTTGCCTACTGCTCATTTACTTCTCCAGTGTGGATATGGTACCTGGGAAGCTGCTTGCCTGGCATGCAGTGATCCATCATAACCTGAGATAAAGGACAAATTTTGCCAGCTGAATTCTATAGTCTCCATGAGATGTATGTCCTCCATCCCCTGAGGGGAGAAAGCACAGCCCATGGGCTGCTGGCAGCTTGCAAGAGGACTTCCAGAGGAACATGACTGGATCACGCCTCTCTGAGACATCATGACTGTTTTTTTACAGAGATGCCTCTTCTCTTCTTTATAGAGATGGTACCTTCAGTAAGGCTGCTGGTCACAGAATTGCATGAGTGCTAAAGCTTATGTTTTAATTACAGAAACTGAAAATCAGATAGGAAGGAAAAAACCCTCTCCTGTGGAAAAGCGGGTGAAATAAGCAAGGTTTGTCATACAGCTGAGTACAAGCTGTGTGTTGATGGCACTATCTTTTTTACATCCTGCAGGAACAAACCGGATCTTATATGTGTTGATTGTCATCTCGTTTTTTGTGGCACTAATTGGCATTGTCATCTTCATCGTGTACTACAAAAATAAGGGAAAAAAGCTGACAGGTACGTGTAGCTAATGATATTCGTGCATGTGACAACTGCATGGCTCTCTGTGTACTCTGATTTCATGGACAACCACCAGAGGAGTTATTTTGGAAGTTCTGTGCTATCCATATATCCCATATATGTAGGATATATATCCCATATGTATATGCTTTAACTAGCACAAAGCCTGGCTTCAAATTCCTTTTCTCTAGGCAGGCAGCATATTACACTTCTGCATAATGTGTATTGCTTAGTATCCTCCTGCAGCCCTGGGGTGACCGCCCTTGGGGCAGACACAACCACTGTGTAGATGGAGAAGGGCTGGTGCTGGAGGCTTTTATAGTAGCACGGCTGCTCTGCACCACGTGGCACAGAAGAGCCCTTGGCCAAAGGGAAGCAGGCACAGACACAGCGGGCTTTCACCACCTCCTGTCTCCTTCTTCCCACTCTCCCTCCTCCGCTGAAACCTACATCTGGACAGATTAAAATATGGATTTCAAGACAAAGGCCTGTTGTGTATTTGAAAACATGATGGAGGCAATGTTTTTAGCTGAAGTTCTGATGGGGTATGGAAGAAACACTGGAAGGAAATAAAAGAAACAGTAAAAATAGAAAATTAGAAAAGTTTCATCAAAGGCATACTGGATGACAGTGGGGTACTCAATATGTTATTAATTCAGTGGAAATACCTTCAACAGTTACTCAACTCTGTGTTAAGCCCTGAATTTCCTTAGTTGAGGACATACCCATATTGTTCTCCCCCTAAAAATGGAATGCTTTTCCTTGTGTAGTTTTCCCATCCTCTCCTTTCCCAAGCCCTGGCAATATATGAAATGTTTTGGGAACAGTGGAAGGGAAGACAGCAACTCTCTCTCGTGAAGTATATTTCAGCCTGTGTTTTAGAAATAGGGTGCCTCTGCCACACTAAACATGGGTTGTGCTAAATCTGGAATTCCTGGGATGGGCTGGAGGAAATGGTGACTCTTCTTGCAAACCAAATATGATGCAAAGCAGGTTAGGGGGGTGTGATTTTTGTTTGACATTTCTATTGCCCTGATGCTCTGCAGTGAGAGTCCTTCTATTGCCTTTGGGTGGTCAATTCTGCTAACCAGAGCCCCAGAGGCTTGTAGGCTCAGGAAGAAGCTCTGCCTGCTTGAAGAGTCAGGGAACTGATGGTAAATGTGCAGGCTCAACATCAGAGGAACAGAGTCATTGCTGGGAACTGGCAGTGGCTACATAGCTGATCTATCTTCAGACATACAAAACCAGCAAGTATACATGAGACCCGAGCCCTACAAAATCTTCTGAAAGTATAAACATAAAACAAGAAGAATTGATAACTCTATTAAGTGGCAGACTTTACCATGAAGTATGTTGAACTTAAAACTTTTCCTTGGGAGATACTCCAGTTAAATGAATTTCCTCATTAAGTACACCCTGATTAAGTGGAATAGGCTGCATTTGAGCCTGCCATCCTGTGGTTTGAGTGGCTTACCCTCTTCTCCCCAGGCTCCTCACTCCTGTCTGAGAATGGCCTTTTGGCCATCCATGTGACTTCTCTTGAAATAGACCATACGGCTGCAAGCGGGTCGGTATTGGGCCAGTCATAGCTTGGTGTGACATATGACCAGGAAAGAAACCCCATTTGATGTGGAACACAGTTTAACTGTGGTCTATTTTAGGAGTTTGGAAACATTTGTTCCACAGAAATATATCCCTGTTCCAGTTACAATGAATCCTCAGCTAGACCGATGCTGGGACACTTGAACAGTCAGTAAAAACAGTCTCACTGGTTTTTATTTAATATGATATTGTGGATTGTGCATGACTGTGGGTGTTTAGGTTTGTGGCTAACTGCAGTGCCTGCTATATATGACAGCTACTCTTTTTGTTTTACTACAGAACTGGGCTAACGAAGTGTGCAGCCAAATAAAAGGCACGAAGGTAAAGTCAAAGCCACTAGCATTTTCTCTTTGGTTTATGTTTTCCTTGTGGCATTCCTAACACTCCTCCTGAAGCAGACTCCACGTTAACATTTGGCTAGAAAACAAGTTTTGAGTTCCTCCTTTGGCTTTTTCAGTATGGTTTTCTGTAAATGTGAGGCACATGGAATCACTGTTCTCCAATAGCTTCTGAACCTGCTCTCTTGTTTCAGCCAGTTTTAACAGTTGTAGAAGTCTCTGTGATGGTTAAATATTTATGAGGAGAAAGTTAAGGCCACCGGTTGCTGAACACCTGAGACTCTGCCAAGCAGCCTTTCTAAATCCTAAGAGCAGGAAAAGTGTCAACTGAGTTTGCACCTTTTCACATACCAGAGCACTCACAGGGGAGAAACCTGGACTTGGGGCAATGGCAAGAATGCCAGACATGCAAGTCAGTAAGCACAAGAGCCATCAGCTAAAGAAACTGGCTGTGAGACACCTTATTTCTAGTGCTTGCAGAAATCCTTCTTGTCCATTCAGATGTCAAAAAAGTACAAGATTTTGCTGTGGAAGAACAACAGATGCCATGCTTGAAACACTCAGATGGGGACACAGGTTCAAATTCTTGTGCACTGACTGCTTCACACCATGGATGTGGACTGAAGTGTCCAGGTGCATGCTTTTCTCACCACCCCATCTAGGAGCTCTGTCTAGTTTAGTTTGAGTCTAGCTGTTGAAAGACTCAAATTCCATTACTAAAAAACCCCCATACCAAATAAACCCACCTTTCTGAGCAGAAAGTTCCTCTTTTGTCTCATAATTGTTTCTGCAACCTCCTGCCCTGGCAGCTGCTCAGATCCTCTGGGACAAAGGAGTGAATCAACAGCAATTAGTAGCTGGCAGCATTTACACTTTCTCTTTTATCCTGGAAGATCTGAACAGACACGACAGATGAAAGGTATCAGTTTCCAAGTAACAGTTTTTACAGCACAACTTGCATGAACTGAAGGGAACCCTTGAAGTATTTCCCAACCTTTTTTTGGGAGCTGTAACCAAAAATACAGCTTTACTTTGACAAGAAGTGGCAACAGGAATGGCATCGTGAGCCTTTACATTTGTTGTCCTAACATTTTCTAGGTTCAAGGAACATTGCCTGTGTGAGTTCTTTTTTTCCAGCTTGTCTCGGTCCCTCAGAATCAACTCAGTTTCTTTCTTTCATCATTACTGATACTAAAGATTCTATTCCCAGTAAGGCCCTCACAGATCAACAGCCTTTCAAACACATAGGGAATTTCCAAACCCCTATAAGCTGTTAGGTAAGTCTTACTGATGGTCCATAAGGAACAACAGAATGCAGTGGCTCTTCTGGATTTATTAACTCCTAAATGCCTTCTTAAGAACGAGGAATAATCATCTCCTAAAATTAAATGTTATTGCCCCTGAGGCCTCCAGATTTTTTTCTGAACACCCACTGAGCCCAGCATCACTGGTCACAGTTTCACAGCAGAATGGAATTACACCTCAAGACTCAAATATACTGGTGTTCCTCAACCTCGGCAGCTCCACACTGAGAAGGAACTGAGATCTGCCTTTTCCTTCATCTAGAAAAATAATCTTCTACTGATCTATTTATTAAACACGTTTTTCTTTTTAACTTCTTTCAGGAGCCCCCCCGAGATACATCTGTTACCATGAACATCATGAATGTTGTTGTCCCCCAGACCTCTGAAGGCATGTGCCTCCTGGGCCCCACTGGCTCTCCTGCCCCTGGAAACTCATGCTGCACCAGCGGACACGCTCCTTGCAGGAACAGGAGCCCCAGCACAGCACCGTGCGAGGTGGGAGGGAGCCTCCAAGAGTTTTCTGTGGTAACTGAGACTGATGATGACCATTTCCCACCAGTTCCTACGGAAGATGAATACATGGATAAGGATCTCAATACCGCTGATTATTTATCCTTACTGAGCCAGACTGCCAGTAAAACTATGTCGTCATTTTCAGAACCGATGGAGGCAGGGGAGAACGACAGTTTAAATCAGTACTTTTCAGGGATTGGGAGCTCAGAGGATATATCAGTCTCTCAAGGCTCTCACCCTTTCACAGATGGGGCACACACTGCCACGGACAAACTTCTTCAGAAATCTTGCCAACATGCCCACAGTTGCCTGAAGGAAACAGGCAGCAAAGACACAGATCATTGTGCAACAAACTCTGACTCAGAGAAGATCTGTGTGAGGTGTGGCATTTCGTACAGGGAATCTCCCAGAATACGGAGCAAACCCTATTGTGCTGCAGCTGACAGTGCCTCCACCTCCCCAGAAACTGGATCCTATGCACAGTGCACCTGTGGCTTGAATTTTCTCTCTGCTGGTCAGAGCACACTAGCAAGTGATGGTGGTATGGAAGATACATCTTCAGATAGTAGCAATGTGAAGTACCAGAACACAAGCAGAAGCACTTCAGGGACAAACAGAAGCACTTCAGGGACAAACAGCAGCACTTCAGACCTTCCTCCAGCTTCTGGTAAGCCCATTAGGCTTGACCTGTACACAGTCGTATAGGATTATTCTCTCTGCTAGTTCAGTATTAATCAGAGGTATGATTTAGGAAAAGGGGGGAAGAATGAAATTATGACTTTTCACTTAATTGCCCTGAAGCTAATCTGAAAAAAACCCCAAACTAAACCCTGAAATAGTAAGGCCATTTGGTTTGTAATGATTTCTGCAGTCAGTAAGTAAGTAAGTGAGGGACCATTGTCCTGCCCTGATCTAACCAGCAATGCAGAGCCCATCTTCCGGCTGTCACTGCAGAGGCCAGGCAATTTTGTTACTGAAGTAGTCTGGTGATAGCAGATGTGTGTATTGGTGAAAACTGAGAAGGAGGAGAGTATAGGAACCTAGAGACTGAGTCAAGAAAGGATGCATAACACTCAGAAGGGTGATTTTCCATTCAACTGTCTGCATGCACATTTTTGCCATGAGGTTTAAGTTCAGTTACATTTATGTGGTGGTCAGTGAAATTCCAGCTGGAGCTGTTGATATAGTGGCCACAGCTGGGTCTAAAGGATTATGTTCAGTTTTGTGCTTTTAGCTCTCTCTCTGTTTTCATTTGCAATGATATAAGCATTCACCTAAAAATAATTAATTTCATACAACCATTGTTTCTCCATGCTCTGTCCCCTGAACAACACTGAAACACTGTTGCCAATTTAATAATTGAGTAAATATAACAAAATTGTCAAATGAAAGCAGGGGAAAAAAATCACTGAAGCAAAACTGGTGGATGGGAAGTTATGAGCCTTTTCAGGATGAAACCTTCCTCCCTCAGACTTTTTTTTCAGTTTAAAAGTCTGCAACCTACCTGTCATGTGTTACTAGTCACTTTAGATTATAATCTCTTAAAGTCCAGTGCTATGTTTTTATTTATGTCGATGCAGTGCCAAGCATAATGAGACCTTATTTTTGACTGGGATGTCTAACTGTTACTGTAATACACATAGCAGTTGTAAGCAGTTGCTCTTCTTTAAAACCATGTTATGCTTTAAAGTTTCTTATGGAGACATTCTTGTCAGTCTGCCAAAGCCCAAAAGCAGCACTTCGGAAGGCCCTTCCTCTCTCAACACGCATGCCATGTGTGTGTCTCAGTCTTTCTGAGAGCAGATACTCTTTCTGCCGTTTCAGTTTCCTGAAATCCTGACACAGTTTCACTGCCTGGTCCATACAAAAGTCAGAAATGGTAAAGAGAACACAGATTATCTGTTGTTGTTGTTACTGGAAGGTGACTGAGGTACAACCGAAAGCCAAGTCATATTTAGCACTGCAGAAGTACTGCTTTTCTTTCTAAAGCTGACAGGAAGAGGAAGAAAAAATATTAAGGAACAACAGGGCAAACAGGAGAGCTTGGATTTAAGCAATGTGCTAGAAAGTGCCATCTTGGATCTGCAGCGTAATTCTTTATATGGGATTTTAATTGTGCCTGTGCCCTCAGGTATGTACGTGCTATAGTGCCATCTGGTGAAACCTGAGCACAGATGATGTCTTCCTAATGTGCCATTTTTTAGGCACGATTGCTGGAAGGTACTGACCAAGCTGTGGGCAGCAGGAGAGTGTGGGTTAGTTAATCTGCAGGTCATGTAGCTTGCTGGCAGAGGCGGTTTTCTGTCCACAGAGTGGGATAGGGCTTAGCCATGGGTTCCACACGGAAGCACCGTGGCCGCACTGAGGCTGCACATGGAGCTGCAACGGCATCAGTGATTTTGCTGGGCCTTGTGCAGTGCCCAGACGGAATAAACATGAATGCAAAATAACTTTCTGTAAAGCTTCTCAAAGCTTTGCACACAGTCATGCTAAGACAGAACAGTACAAAAGTGGGTGGCTGAAAAAATGGGAAGAAAAACGCGATGGGTAATTCCATGAAGTTTTGGTTTTAGTTTCATAACACTCAAAATGACAACAGAAATTGCAAACTCTATTCATCCCTTGAAACAAACCTAGAGGACCAAAGTAAACATCTGGACAGGTATCACTTAGAGGGGTCACTGCCAGCGATGGAGTTAGCCTTCAAGTGCTCTTTCAAACCCCCCAAGCCTGAAGGCAGTCAGAACATGAAGCGTCAGTTCATGACCACCTCAAGTCATGTGTAGGGCTACAGCAAAAAGCATGGGTGCAGGAAGACTTACGTGACTCACAAGTAGCAATGGTTTTGCACAGCCTTTCCCTTCCAGATTCCAAACCAGCCCATGTTGGCAGCAAAAGTTCTTACACCTGGAGGCCATCAGATGGCTCAGAGAAAATTGATCACCTGCATTGTTCCAGTTCATATTGAATAATTACTACAAAAATTATTTTGTCATTGTAATTACTATCATCAGGTAGTCTGAAGAGATCAAAAGGCTGAAACCTTGCAGAGAATGATGCCTTCGCTTATCCTCTGAACGTGTCCCTTGTGCTTTCCAGGTTGGAAGCACATGTCTCAGTGCAGTCCCGGAAGCTCTTGTGTCCATTTTCCGTGGTTTTGGGCCTCAGATATCTTTTTGTTTCATCACAGTGCCTTCAGAAAGCCAATGAAGATTTCCCAGCCACATTCAGTTAGACATTATAAATGTGTTAATCTGCCCCCCACCCCAACTGTCACATATATTTCTAAATTCTTGACCTCGTACTGAGCACTGGTAAACTTCTCCACAGTACCTTTTGCAAGTGACAGGACATCCAAATGAAGGCAAACAGTTGTTTTTGTACTCCCATTATGCCTGTTTTGTTGATGGCAAACAGCCGAAACAAATTGAACACAGGGGAAGCAACTGGCAGGGAAAAAACTCCCGCAGAGAAAACTCTTATTGACACCTCATGTTAATCAACAGCACTTGGAAAGAAAGCAAAGAGCTAGCAATGCAATGGTTTAGCAGAAATAAATAGGACTGCTTGAGGGGGGCTGCTAGAGAAATGCTTGAGTGCTACTCAGACTCAGTTATGAGCAGGTACGGGTCTAAACACAGCTGGGGCCCCGTGTCCATTGCTGATGTGCAAACATCACCTGTGGCTGCTAGAAAAACAGGATTTGTCTGGGCTGGGCCATGCTTAGCTGAAATGAAAGAGGGAATGTCTCAAGTGTTGAAGGTTATAACGAGGAAAGGCACAAAATGCCTCAAAGCTGTCAGATCAGTCCACAAGTAATGATTAAGTGAAGCACAGCAGGAAGAACATTCCTTAGGAAGAGTGCTCATAGGCTAGGAAGAATTTTCTTTTTTTAACTTGGTTGCTTCGGTTTGATTTTGAAACTTTAACAAGTTTGTTAGTTTGCGGTTGCAAGTTTGCTCTCAGTTATTTTCTTTCTGCTCTGAGGGAAGCCTATTAATTCCCAAGCCTGGTCCTGCTGTCACTTGAGTCAGCAACCTAGTCCCTGAATGGTAGAAAGATTGAATTTTTAATGACAAATCTCTAACCGCAGGCAGATTGACTGAAAACATAATTATGTTACCTTGCTATAATATAAACTCTGCCTCTTCGCTGGAGTCAGCATATATCCAGGTAAACCCATGAGGGAACTAGATGAGTACCAGAGTGTACCTACAGGGAGGATCAGGACAATGTAAGATAGTTGTATAAGCTCCGAGTCATTTGGACACTGTGTGACTGTATGGTCTGACGTTATGTCTTTCAGCATATATTCAATAAGCCTTCTACCTAGCCCACACAGTACGATTGATTGTTTGCCAAAGGGGAAAAAAAAACCCCAGTGATGTGATGCCTGGGACTCTAAAAAAATGATCTCAAAAATAATGACCATCTCCTCACAAACCATGGGCAGAGGCAGTTTGGATGCAGCTTGTGCGTCGGGCAGCATGGGGGGCGTGAGATTGCTGCTCTCACTCTTGCTTCCAAGAGCACAGTTGAGAGAGGAAATGTTTCCAAGCCTTCCAGTCAGGCTCCCTGTGGGTGACTGACTTCGTCCTACGGAGGCAAAAATGGAAATAATGAAAAGGTCCAGCGGAAGGCATAGGTTGTAAGAACATCCTCGTGTCATGGGGAAAAAGTAATGGAACAAGAGTAAAGCCACTGTGGATTAAGTTCACAGTGCTGAGGGTCCGTCTTGTGAGGGGAAAATACTAATCACGTGTGTCTTCTTTTCTCCCCCTCCTTGCCCAGGAAATGTGACTGGAAACAGTAACTCCACCTTTATCTCAAGCGGACAAGTAATGAATTTCAAGGGCGACATCATTGTTGTCTACCTTAGCCAGAACTCCCAGGAGGGCGCCACGGCCTCGGGGCCAAGCGAGGAGAACGTGGGCAGCCCGGTGCAGGAGGAAAACCTCAGCCGCTGCGAGACGTTTGCCGGCAATGCCCAGCACTACAAGGAGAAGTGCGCGGAGCTGCAGCAGGGCTCCTGCCCGGCCGCGGGGAGCGGGGCGCCG